GCTGATACTTTGGTGTTAAGTCAAGCAGATCTTGTCGTTGTTAACGACCCGATCCCAGCGTCTAGAAAACACTGGACACCGCGCAGCTTCTTCATTTCAACAAGTATAGACAAGATGCTTTTGATGTCAGTATAGATGATCAACGAATTGTCGTAGCGCTTCCCAACGAGTAGGGCGTTCAGTTCGATAAAACAGCTGAGGTCGCACGGCTGCAGTTGGGAAAATACGGCTGATAAGAAGAGGTCACAATATCCGTTTGGTCGAAATACCCGTGAGCAATATGAGCTATGTAGGGTCTGGTATCGACATAGGTGATGATATCGTTATTGTAGTTTTATACTGCTATTCCTTTGTCAATTTGTTCGCTAAGAAACAAGCCATAAACTTGAGAAACGCCGGAGGTTTTTTCCCGACAGAGCCATTTAAGAGGCACACTCAGAAATCCATCGCCATAATAATCATCCACGTGAACCCACGTGACTTCTCGTGATCCAATTCGGGCAGTTCCTCATTCGCGTTAATCCAAAGTTGACACTTCTGACTTGGCCTCAGCGTACAATTACACACAAATTTCGTTTATGAGCAGGGTCCAGTTTGATAGTCTTAAATGCCGTTATTGGCAGAGAAGAATCATTGCTACAGACACCAATTCGATTCTGGACTCCTGCATCTGGGAGTAAATGGATATCCAAAAACATGTTCTGTGGACCATCCCCAATTTTTGGGCACAATTTGCGTAACAGGTGCAGCTAGACTGCAAGTCTCGTGGGCAAACATCGCAAAGGTTCAACATCTGTGATGCGCCATTTGAAACCTCATTTCATCCACCCGCTCTTCTTGGGCAAGGTGGGCAATGTGAGCGCGTCCTCAACCACAACTCGCATCCGTTCTTCCTTCTTTGAGCTCTCACACCATATCTTCAACGTAGCACTTCGAGAACACTGTATCACGCGTAAGCTGAGCCAGCACACAGAGAATTCGAGTTGCGAATTTTACGTGTGTCACCAATCATTTGGAAATTCCGCCTCGATTTTGGGTCACTATGAGTTCTTTTATGTTTTTAAGTGTTTCCTTCCTGCGGCACTACAAACTTAAATTGGGGTATACCGTAGCTAGGTGTGCTAGCTTAAAACAAAAGCAAGTAGAATGCTCTAGCTCTTTTACTTTTCCCACCATTTCTCTAGATGTCTGGACATGTTTGAATGAGTTGACCTAATATATCAAGTGCAGTGGCTGCCACGTCATTCCCGGTGACACGCCCAATCAGACTTCGAGATATCGACTGTAGGTATTTAATGTTCTCATAGTTGTAAAATATCAAGAGAGTCGTCAAAGTGTCACAGCAACTTCTGTTTCACCTCATGGGTGCAGCTAGAGCT